AGAAGAAGAAGAAGAAGAAGAAGAAGAAGAAGAAGAAGAAGAAGAAGAAGAAGTTGCAAGCGCAGCTCGCCAGCAGAGCAGAGTGGGCCTAAGTAGATTTGAACTACTGACTTGAAGAAGAAGAAGAAGAAGAAGAAGAAGAAGAAGAAGAAGAAGAAGAAGAAGAAGAGGAGGAGGAGGACGAAGAAGCGACAACAAAGAAGATGAAGAAGCAGAAGAAGAAGTGACAAAGAAAAAGAAGAAGAAGAAGAAGAAGAAGAAGAAGAAGAAGAAGAAGAAGAAGAAGAAGAAGAAGAACTGAAGAAGAAGAGGAGGAAGAAGAAGTGACAACGAAGAAGAAGAAGAAGAAGAAGAAGAAGAAGAAGAAGAAGAAGAAGAAGAAGAAGTGAAGAAGAAGAGGAGGAAGAAGAAGCGACAACAAAGAAGAAGAAGAAGAAGAAGTGAAGAAAAAGAAGAAGAAGATCTCTCTCTCTCTCTCTCTCTCTCTCTCTCTCTCTCTCTCTCTCTCTCCCCAAGTCCCTTACCTTGTCGATGGCGGGGAACCGCGATGGCGGGCGTTGGGTCGGCGGGGTCACGCGCGGTGGCGGGCGTTGGCAGGTGCTGGCGGCGTCGGAGTTTCGCGTTGAAGTCCAGCGGAGCGACACAACTGCAGGGCAGGGAACGGGGCGACCCGTCTTCCCCCGAACACAACGCACCGTCATTTTGGCTGTACCTGGCCGGAAATATAACTCGTATACAAGAAGCGACAACTGCAGGGCAGGGAACGGGGCGACCCGCCGGAAATATAACGCCCAGTGTTAAGGAGAGGAGGAGGGGAACAAAGATCTCCTTACTTTTTCGGGGTAATACATGTAAAATACTGACCGTGGGATCACTCACGAGTACTGCACGGCAGGATTTGGGTCACAAAACTGTCCCGCAAACTCGTTTCTATCCTATCCCGTTGCTAGTGGGACCTCGCCCCAGATTGCATGAAATGCAGATTCTCAAAAGTCTCAAAAAAGAAAAGGGAGAGACGAAGTGGAGGAAGGGGGGAGAGAGAAGGAGAGAGAGAGAGAGAGAGAGAGAGAGAGAGAGAGAGAGAGAGAGAGAGAGAGAGAGAGAGAGAGAGAGAGAGAGAGAGAGAGGAACCCAGTTGACCACCAACATGGAGGAGAAGATGGTACATCCGAGTATTAGAAAAGAGTTTAAAAAAACATGAAATTGTACACCTCACTAGAAAAAAGGGAAGCTCCTACTGACATATTATTATTTGGTGAAACTACTTGCACAATTCAAAGAACCTTCAAAATGCTGGGAATGACGATCTCATCATCTTGTGCAGATACACTTCACGATCATCCAGAAACTATGGGATGTGCTCCACTCCATAACATTCAAAAATCAAAATGCATCTGGATCTTGTAATGGTCCCAGTACATTCCAAATGCTCGATCAATCCCAATGTATGTGGTTCAGCTATCGGTCCAGATAACTGTCGAATGTTGAGTAGTGGAGCGAGGCCGGATGTTTAGTGACTGCGATGAGGATGACGAAGGGCGACTTTGCCACAGAATCTGAGAGAGACTATATAGGGAACAAAATTCAACAAATTGTGCTGACAGCCTGACAGCTCTGCAGAGTTATGAGGCCACTCTGACCTTTAACAGCAGGAGAGAAATTCTGCACCCAAAAAAAAAAACTGAAAACAGGCATGTAATTGACAGAAAAACAGAGAAATTCTGCACAAAAAAAACTGAAAACAGGCATGTAAAAAATTGAGCAATTCTGCACCAAAAAAAAACTGAAAACAGGTAAGTAATACACAGAAAACTGAGCAGTTCTGCACCCAAAAAAAAAAAAAAAACTGAAAACAGGCATGTAATTGACAGAAAAACTGAGCAATTCTGCACCCCCCAAAAAGTTAAAAAAAACTCAGCAATTCTGCGCCCCCCAAAAAGTTAAAAAAAACTGAACAGAAAAACTGATCAATTCTGCACCGAAAAAAAAAACAACCTGAAAACGGGCAAGTAATTGACAGGAAAACTGAGCAGAGCAATTCTGCACCCAAAAAAACTGAAAACAGGCAAGTATTTGACAGAAAACCCGAGAAATTCCGCACCCAAAAAAAAAAAAAAACTGAAAACAGGCAAATAATTGACAGAAAAACTGAGCAATTCTGCACCCCAAAAAAACTGAAAACAGGCAAGTAATTGACAAAACTGAGCAATTCTGCACCCAAAAAAACTGAAAACAGGGATGTGTTGACAGAAAAAAACTCTGAAAACACATGCGCTGCCAGAAAGGCTTCATGCACGGAGGAAATGTTCTATCACTCCCCCAAGGAAAAAACTCCTCATAGAGAAACTCCTTCCTCTAAGCTTCCAGAGTAGATTCTGAGCCGTTATGAAGCAAAACACTCCCGGGCATAAGCTGGCAAGAACAGAAAAACAGAAATCCAGACAAAAAATAAGCACCACAACACACACGGCGACTTTTCAGTTCTTCTGTTCTGACACACAGTCCGTAATATATTTTACTATAATTATTAGTATAATAATATAACTCCCTTTTTTTTTTCTTTTTTTTTTTTTTGAGACGATCCTCCAATCTATTCATGGGGAGCAACACAGCTGGGAACCGGGCCCAGCGTCCCTTATCAGAATATACAAAAAACGAGCTGCCGGGGCCATTACCCGGCTTCGGCTAAGAACAATTGAAGAAAAAGGAAGAACTCAGAAACATTCATGGTCCACTACTCAAACTCTACCAAGTCACTAGAATATGTGTGTCAAAAAGCCTCCCAACCACGTATCAGATAGGTGAAACCTATTCAATCCACCTACGACTACCACCAGCATGGCTGTTTTCGGCACGAACCGAAGCTCTTCCAGGCCTCATGCTCCCATCAGGCTAGGTTACAGAGTCGCACCAGCTTGCTCCAGCACCGGCCAGCATTGCTCCAGTTACGACCCCCGATGACCACTGAGACTGCCCCTGCAAACAGCCCCCCAGATCTCTTTACCAGGCCTCACCCCCCCACTAAGCTAGGTCACACAGTTGCGCCAACTGGCTCCGGCTCCGGTCAGCGTTGCTCCAGCATCCGTCTTCGAGGGCCACCGAATTTTCCACCACCCTTCGCAGGATCATAGATGAATTGCCAGATAGCACCTATTCCTACAACCTCCTCGAGAGGCAAACAAAATAGAAAAAAATACTAAACTGGACATTAGGATTCTTCGAGAGAGATCACCCCTCCCTCCCCCTACCCCTCCCCCCTCAGCCCTACACTCTCCACTGGGACCGATGTTGACCCACACACCAGCCCCTGCCCAGAATAGGGCAACCCCCTACTCCGCACCTACCCTCTTTGAGACATTCACCTCGCACCTTGCGATGCCCCTGCAAGATAGAGCTCCCCCCTCCCCCTTCTTACCATTCAGCCCTCCGGGAGCGATCCGATCCAGCCGACTACAGTTATAGATGAAACACTTACCAAAATGTCGAAACACTTCACGCAAATCGCAATTTGGAAAAGCAGGGCCTCTTCAAAAATATGCAATAACACCCGAAAACACCCTACATCTTTAAGAACAACCCGCTGAAAGCGCAGGGCGGCAGTAAGACTGTTACGATTATTACCCTGCCCCTTGCACCAATCAACGTTTGGCAGCTCCCACTACGTGCACGTATCACCAATTTAAAAGCAGCAAAAACTAATTATCGAAGAGGGTCTTCAAAACTTATATGGCTATAATAGTAGAATTCCGAAGTTTTCGGGTTCCAAGATTAGAAAATCATGATAGAACTTTACTTGGGACTTTTAGAAATTATAGTCGAAATTCAAGGATAGGTAATTACAGAACAGATCCCTACGAATTGTGCTAGCGATTCAGAGTGGATGAACTCCCATATTTTACATCTCTTTGAATAGGTCCCATGTGTGTAGTAGTGAGCTAAAAAAAATGAAAAAAAAAAAAAAAAAAGGAATGGGAAAAAAAATAGTCAGCTAAAATTTCCATAGAAACCTTCGCTAAAACCATCAAGACATAAAGACCCCTTCGCACTCAGACTTGTCTTCTTGCTTATTCAGCATGCATGAAAACAGATGGCAATCGCACTGGCGCCAGGCGCCCACACAAAACTCAGAGATATCAAGGCCAGTTGACTTGTTCAGGTCTAATGTACATTCTAAGAACTTGTTGCAGGATCTTGTTCATCTGTTCGGTCTGACTGTTAGTCTCTGGATGGCGGCCAAACGACATCAACAACTTAGAGACGTAGACTCTCATCAATTCCTGCCAGTTCTGACTGGTGAACCTGGTATCTCTGTCACTAACTATCGACAGCGGTATACCCTGCTCACTGACCCAATGATCAAAGAATTTCTCTATTACTAATTATGTGCGTGCCTCTGAAGGCAAAGGAACAAAAACTGCATACTTACTAAACCTATCAGCGTCCATGAAATTGATGGACACAGAATCTCCGGGTCCTGCGGGAATAGGCAAGGGTCTGAGAAGACCAAGAGGGGCTCGCGTAGTGGTCTTATTCCTCTGGCATACTTTACAACTGCGCATGTATTCTATGCAGTCAGCCTTCATGCCAGGCCATGTATACGAGTGAACGAAATTGGCTAATGTCTTTTGCCAACCGAAGTGTCCCTCTGTGTTATGGCATTCCCCTAGGATCAAACTACGGATCTCCTCAGTATTGGGAACGCATAGTCAATCAGCTACGTTAGTCTTCTCAAATAACAACCCATGTGTAGTGCGGTAATCTGGTTCAGACTCTGGGGACCTCGTCACTCTCTTGAGGAGCTCGCTATAAATAGGGTCTTGCAAATACGCCTCTTTGACTTTCTGTTGCAGGTCTCTCCCTATGTCCAGATAGTGTACGTAATCAGCTCTCCTACTTAGAGCGTCCGCAACTACATTGTACTTCCCTTTGACTGGCTTGAGCTCAAAGTCAAACTGATCTATCTTGACGGCCCACCTAGTCAGCTTAGGTGTCATCTTGGCCTGCATCTTCAACCACCTCAATGTTTCATGGTCGGAATAGACTTTAAAGTGCCTCCCAAGCAAGTAGTGCTTCCAGTGATCTAAGGCTTGCCTAAGAGCGTAGAGTTCCCTCCCATAGGTTGATATTGCTACCTTCTCTGAAGGCATCCTAGCGGACATGAACTCTACGGGTCTATACCCATTGCCATCATCTTGCTGTAGAACAACACCCATACCATACTGACTAGCATCAGTGGTGACAACAAAAGGTAAGGATGGATCAGCTACCTTGAGGACTGGGTATTCTATCAAAGCCCGCTTCAACTTCTTCAGGGACGATGTACGATCTTGGTCCCACTTCCAAATCGCCTCCTTCTTTAGCAATCTGTGAAGGGGGGCAGCGATGGAAGAGAAGTTCCTATCACCTGGACAGAAGAGATTCAATGCAGAAAGAAAACACAGACAGACTTAGCAAGTACCATGGGGTGAGTGCACATCCATAGGGTGAGGGAATAGGCTGAAGGCTTGGTGAAACTATACCAACTCCAGCTTGGTCAAATCCGTGGTCAACAGCTCTGGACAACGCTGGTCAAGGCCTCGGTCAAGGCCTCGATCAATGCCTTGGTCAACAACGGTCAACACCTCGGTCAACGCTCCAGTCAACTCTTCGATCAACTCTTCGATCAACGCTCCGGTCAACTCTTTGGACAATGCTCCGGTCAACTCTTTGATCAATGCTCCGGTCAACCCTTCAAGTCCGGCTATGGCTGCCGACCCCCTTCTCCTTCACCAACCTTCACCTTCCTCCTTCTCTCTTCCCTCCTTTCTCTCTTCACCTTCACCCCCGGCTATGGTTTCTCTCTCCTTTCTTGTTCACTTTCTTTCTTCCTCACTTCTAGTCTCCTCCTTCGTCTTCCTCTCCGTATCCGAGCTCGGCGGCTATGGCTGCCACCTTCCTCCTTGAGCCACAACAACCATCACTCCTCTCTCTCTCTCTCTCTCTCTCTCTCTCTCTCTCTCTCTCTCTCTCTCTTTTCTTCTTCGTCGTCCTTGTCTGTGCAGGTGCGTGGCGTCTTCCTGCAGTGGCGCAGCTATGGCGGCTCCTTCTTCCTGTTGACGACGACGATGGTGGTTGGAACAGCGGGAACCAGCTCCGATACCAATTGCAATCAGACTCATCTTCTTCCTTATTCAGCATGCATGAAAACAGATGGCAATCACACTGTACTGTACACGGGTTTGGGACAGGTCTAGGGATCGAGCCCTGGGATCTGCATCTGCTACCACGAAGGTGAAAACCGTTTCACCCTTTTTCCCTAGTGAAATAATTGACCCTCCTAGGGGACCGCGATAGTGAAATCATTGACCCCCCTAGGCGAACAACTCACAAGAAGGGGTGCAGGGGACAAACAAAAGAGGCATCTCTGTGTGTGTGTGTGTGTGTGTGTGTGTGTGTGTGTGTGTGTGTGTGTGTGTGTGTGTGAGAGAGAGAGAGAGAGAGAGAGAGAGAGAGAGAGAGAGAGAGAGAGAGAGAGAGAGAGAGAGAGAGAGAGAGAGAGAGAGAGAGAGAGAGAGAGAGAGAGAGAGAGAGAAAGGGGAGAGGGATGGAGGATAAATGCATATGTATCAAAAGACTTATGATTCAGCCATAAAATATCCACTCAGGACATGTGAATGATATGGGGAAGCAGGAGAGAAAAGAAGGACAAGGCAAGAACACGAGGGGGGGCAAAAAAGACAAGGAAGAAGTTCTATACACCCCCCTCCCCCCTTCCCACACACACCCCTCAATGGGAACCCAGGATTACTCAAAAGAAACGACGTGGGGGTCATAGAATCATCGCGAGTTAGACCATGTCCAGAGAGGCCCCTACCAGAAACCAGAGACCAGGGACTGGCCCAACCTCAAGAGTCCCAGCAGCACATCCAAGCCTCTTCTACGGACCCATCAGCATATACGCAAATGCAGCGGTTAGCTTGAGTGTAGTAACCAGCTGCGCTACTCATCCAAAAAGTACGCGCTGCATTACCAAAAAAATATGCTCAACGAAAAAGGGCGAGTTCAACAGAAAAGAGGCTGGGTGAGCTGCAGGTTCAATGCACTGCTTTCTTCAATGCACTCCTCCCTCTGACAATCAATTACCCCCCCCCACACACACACAACTCAACCCAAAGACCCCGCTTCAAATCCAGCATAGAAACACGCCTCGAAAGTCTGAGTCAAGGCTAGGTGCTAGACGTACCTCCAAAAAAAAAAAAAAAAAAGGTCCTACAGTCTCTGAGGAGCCTCTAAAAGAATAGGTGGGTAGCCCTGGGGTCAAGGGACAAATCGACATGCCCAGAGCCTCTAGAAGTCAAACTATCCGCACAGAGTCAAAGATTTGGGTACAACCAGCCTTGCACAAACCTAAGGGTCATAAGATTTTGACCATACTGAAATTAAGGGTTTATACGCTTTTGACCAAACTGAAATTAACGGGTCCTTTCCCAAAAAAAAAAAACAAAAAAAAAACGGGTCATAAGCTTTTGACCAAACTGAAATTAAGGGTTCATAAGCTTCTGACCAAACTGAAATCAAGGGGTCATAAGATTTTGACCAAACTGAAATCAAGGGGTCAAAAGCTTTTGACCAAACTGAAATCAAGGGGTCAAAAGCNTTTTGACCAAACTGAAATCAAGGGGTCAAAAGCTTTTGACCAAACTGAAATCAAGGGGTCAAAAGCCAGTCCTCGAAACGCGACGCCGGCCATTGATGGAATTTATCACCCGCGTGCTGTCCCCGAACTTTTCAGACTAGGCAATGAGTTTCTTTTTGGCGAGGCTGGGGCCGTGTACCGGCGGTTTAACAGAGGCCTGAACTTGCAGCTTTTTTTTCTTTTCGGCGCGGGGTACCATCTTCCCCTGAAAACAATGTACATTACGTGCGCACCTACGGTATGTACGAATACAACATACGGGGTGGGTTGTATGTTGTGTTCGAATATAGGTACCGAGTTTCCGCAAGACACCCTATCGTCCGTCATACATGTCGAAAAGAAGGCGGGGCGGGGCCCTCCACCTCTACGTTAGCGCCTCTTGACATATAACGAACATCGTACGGTCTGTTCGAAATTCGAATATAAAGTACGGCCTGTTCAAGTATAGCGTACGTACGTTGAATTTGACCATACGTCATATTCAAAGTTTCAAAGTTTCAAACAACAACTTGGCACCAAGTTCTGAAAACAGAATTTTAAAGGGCAACTTTAATATACGATATGATCGATATGTATGTCATGTTCGGCAGGGGGTTCTTTTTTCTTTTTTCTTTTTTTGACAAATTGCATTCAGCATGTCTGTGCTTATCATTTTTTTGCCCCACCGGATATCCTCACTCGATGATCAGGATGTCCGGTTCGGGCCCTTCCCAGCTGTCCGGGATGTCCATACAGTCATCAATCTGGTTGAATGGGGTTTTTGTTCGGCCTGGCGCAAAATGGCTGTCCCCCCCCCCAAAAAAAAAAAAAAAAAAAGAGCCCGTCAAGACCTGGACCCTGCACCCTTGGAGACATTTCTCAGAAGTAAGCTCGGATTTGTGCTCCATTCGGCATGCACAAAATTCTCAAATAAAAGATCTGGAAAAAAAGGACATTTCTTTTTTTTGGGGGGGGTATGGGGTTGGGGGGGGGAGGGTGTCTGAGTAGTCTGGAATCCCAGACATATTTCACCCCTGAAATCTGGGCCTGGATATCTGACCGGAGCACATTTTCACTCATAAGCCTTCTTCTTTTCCATTTCACCAAAATCATTTTTTTTTCTTCAGGTCACCAAATACTTTGCTCTGGCTGAGAAACGCGCCTAGACAGCATCCGAGAGTATAGGGGTAATAAAATGGTATAGGTTTTGTGTTAAAAAAAAAAAAAAAAAAAAAAAAAACAGAAGAGAAATAGGGGGAAGGAGGTTTCGGTACTTGGTACTTGGGAGTACCGCTTGCATAAAGGGCAAAGCAACCTGGAGGCGGGATCGAAGGGGTGACGGGCCTCCTACCTGTGACCCACGGAAGGCGTGGCAAAATGCAAACATCCCAAAGCTTCACGAGTTTGGAGCGCGGACGGCGGAACTCAATTCACGAGCGGAGATCGCCACTCCGACAGCGTCCGCGCTCTGAGAGGTTGGATCACAACCAGTTCCTTGTGATGAATCACCATCACTGACTAAACGTGTACCCTCCTCTGCTTTCCCCTTCTTGGATTCTTGATCTCCCTCTTCACCCTCAGCAGCCGTTTCCGGACGAGGTCGTTTGCGCCGTACGGGACACATCGCCAAAGCCTTCTCCCAGTCATAGCACTGCCTGTATGCCAGCAAGAGCTGCAGCACTCGAAACGCCCTGAACAGCTTAACGCAACCGAAAAACAGTTGAAACGAGACCAAGGAGGCATTCAGCACAAAAACTACATAGCAAAAGTCTGGTGCCTGGAGTCCCCTCCCCTGGACCCATATGGTCTTCTATTATAATTCGGATTCATTAGATAAAAAGAATGTGGAGCCATATATCGCATGAAAACTGGCAACAGGAGCTTCTACATATTCCATTCCTTGAAAATTGAAATGCAGTAAAAAGGGAAATAGGAACTAAAGCTAGGCACCTTTTGGACTGATCTGCTTCTGATTCAATATAGTATCAATAGCTATTGCAGTCTTATTTACCTGTTTGCATCGTTGCACCCCCCGACGGTCGGCGGCCCTTGACTGGTCGGCTGCCGACCTGCCGACTGATCGGCTGGCCGGCATCTACCGGTCGGGGGTCGTCGGCACCCCGCAAAAAACAAAAACAAAAACTTTTGAGGTCCAGAACCCCCAATAACACATCCAGCACCCCCATAGCGTCTACCAATACCCCCCAG